ACAGACAGATAGACAGACAAACATCTATACAATACCGTAATGAAAATACAGATGAAAAAAGCACAAAAACAAAATAAGAATGTACTTTTATAATAAAATACATTAGGCCAACCCCAATGTATCCTAGACGAACTCTCACTCGTTCATCATCCAATTGTACGTTTGCTCCAAATGGCCTAGCCTTTGCGCCTCGAACAGCAACAACATTAACAATATTTTTTTATATACTTTAGTTTTATTTTTGCCTTTCTGTATATACATATGTATGTGTGTGTCTATATGGCCAAAAACGCAAACCAAATGTTTGGTAGTTGTAGTGCGAGTATAAGAGGTTGTGGTCCAATTCAGTTTGTAAATGTAGTGCAAAGTACCATGGCACTATTTGGCCTTATATACTGTGTTATACTCTTGTTTAGTTATTATTTTTTTCTGCTTTTTTGTGCAGTATGTATTTTTTTCATGATTGTCCTTTTTTATATTTAAAAGGACACTTTTTGTACCCAGCATGCTGTATTTGCTATGTGTCCACTTTAATTCTTTATAAGTGTGTAAATGTTGTTTAAAATTTAAATTTTATGCAAGGAAAATGGAAATGTTGGACGAGATATGCTAATAATATAAATTTGATCGAAAGAAGATTTATATTTTTCCTACAGAAATAAATGAGCTTTCAGCGGACATATTTTTAATTAAAATTTGATAGTTCGATCATTTATTGGGACTTTGATTGGACTATATACCCATTCTAGACTAATGATGATATTAACATATCTTCTATATTGCTATTAAACTTGTCTAAGCAAAATTGTATTTCAAAATTAAAGGATTTAGAAAAGATTTTAGAGAGATTAGTTTAAAATGAAGGGTGCTATACAAATTATTAAGATATATGATTATCTAGACCACTACGGTACCTGTTGTCCGGAATTATTGTCTTTACATGATTTTTATACCCACAAATTCGTTGTTTATGAAGCAAATACAACAAAATTTCGCATAAGTCAGTTTTTTGACTTCCGAAATTAAATTCTGAACTATGGCGGACATAGGATCATAATTGGCTCTACTCCCCATATAAGGTCCCCTTAGAAAATGACTATAAAGCTGATTACTGGCTTAAAAATAGGAATATAGCGATGAAACTCGACAAACATAAGTTTCAATATCAATATCTCTCCACCAAATTTTATGTGGACCACCAAATTTTATGTAATTGACCCTACCCCCCATATAAGGTCCCCTTCAGAAAATGATTTTAACGCTCATTATAAAATAGCGACGAATTTGAAATAAGTAAGCATCTTAGGGGCCAAAACTTTTCCACCAAATTTTCTGTGGATCGGTCCATAATTGACACTAACGCCCCCCATATACGGTCTCCATCAGAAAATTACTTTTACGCTCATTACTGACCTAAAAAACGAGTAAAGCGATAACATTCGATATAAACATGACTTGTATGAACCAAGATCGTTCTAAAATATATTACGAGAATCGATCTATAATTGGCCGCTCAGAAAATGACTTTAAAACTAAGTTAGTTAGTAAGGTAGTTGTTAGTTAGTTAGTAGTTAGTTAGTTAGTTAGTTAGTTAGTTAGTAGTTAGTTAGTTAGTTAGTAGTAGTTAGTTAGTTAGTTAGTTAGTTAGTTAGTTAGTTAGTTAGTTAGTTAGTTAGTTAGTTAGTTAGTTAGTTAGTTAGTTAGTTAGTAGTTAGTTAGTTAGTAGTTAGTTAGTTAGTAGTTAGTTAGTTAGTTAGTTAGTTAGTAGTTAGTTAGTTAGTAGTTAGTTAGTAGTTAGTTAGTTAGTTAGTTAGTTAGTTAGTTAGTTAGTTAGTTAGTAGTTAGTTAGTTAGTAGTTAGTTAGTTAGTTAGTTAGTTAGTTAGTTAGTTAGTTAGTTAGTTAGTTAGTTAGTAGTTAGTTAGTTAGTTAGTAGTTAGTTAGTTAGTTAGTATAGTTAGTTAGTTAGTTAGTTAGTTAGTTAGTTAGTTAGTAGTTAGTTAGTTAGTTAGTTAGTTAGTTAGTTAGTAGTTAGTTAGTTAGTTAGTTAGTTAGTTAGTTAGTTAGTTAGTTAGTAGGTTAGTTAGTTAGTTAGTAGTTAGTTAGTTAGTAGTTAGTTAGTTAGTTAGTTAGTTAGTTAGTTAGTTAGTTAGTAGTTAGTTAGTTAGTTAGTTAGTTAGTTAGTAGTTAGTTAGTTAGTTTTTAGTTAGTTAGTAGTTAGTAGTTAGTTAGTTAGTTAGTTAGTTAGTTAGTTAGTTAAGTTAGTTAGTTAGTTAGTTAGTTAAGTTAGTTAGTTAGTAGTTGTAGTTAGTTAGTTAGTTAGTAGTTAGTTAGTTAGTTAGTTAGTTAGTTAGTAGTTAGTTAGTTAGTTAGTTAGTTAGTTAGTTAGTAGTTAGTTAGTTAGTTAGTTAGTTAGTTAGTTAGTAGTTAGTTAGTTAGTTAGTAGTTAGTTAGTTAGTTAGTTAGTAGTAGTTAGTAGTTAGTTAGTTAGTTAGTTAGTTAGTTAGTTCGTTAGTTCGTTCGTTAGTTAGTTAGTTAGTTAGTTAGTTCGTTAGTTAGTTAGTTAGTTACGTTAGTTAGTTAGTTAGTTAGTTAGTTAGTTAGTTAGTTAGCTTCGTGTAGTTAGTTAGTTAGTCTATTGCGCTCCTTTTACAAGTAGCTCTAGTGGGAATCAAACAATAACCTGCGGTCTGCTAAAATCGGGTGACTGTGTTTCTTTGTAAAACTACCTAGGCGTATGATTATTATTAATTTAAAACAACATGTATACAAATAAAAACACATTCATTAACTGTACTTCTGATCAATCCAATTTTCCATACATGCAATTTATTGTAGACAGTGTGGATGTATATAATTTAAATGATAAGTATTTATACTCTAGTATTCTAGCGTATATTTTTGTTTTTGCCTACTGATAACTTGTTTTATTTTTAGTTATAATTTAATTAAAAGAAACACACGCTAACAACAAATATATGTATGCATTAAAATATTAATTATTACTTATTTGTTTTTATATATTTTTTAAATTAAATTATTGTGTAATCCATATTTTTCCATGGGTCATTATGGAAAATTTGTTTTTTTGTTATTTCAGTCTTAATAACTTAATACAATTAGTTATTAAGTTTTAGTCTGACTGACTACTTGTACTTTATTATTAATACTTAATATTCTAAAATGAACATGTGCGTAATACGTGCACTATATATAGTAATTAGTACTTTTTTTAAATATGTATGATATATTAGAATAATTTATAATTATTTTTTTTGTTTGTAATTTATAATAATATTTTTTGCATTTAAATAAGAAGTTATATAAGCAAATTCGCGAATAAATAACTAAACGACTTTACTATAATGCGCGTCACTTCTATGATGATATATTTATCGCTTATTTCCCACAATACTGACATAACTCAAAATGTATTGCTTTCGAACTGAGTACTTCAAAATATGCCCCGTTCTAAAGTTGAAAATATCTATTATTTTTCATGTGAGTATCAAAGGAAAGGCCTTGAGATCCCTATGGCGGTCATTGGACCATGTACAAGCACTTTGTCTGCAGTTATGTATGAAATTCCGTGATTAGATATTTAAAGATATGTATATCAAAAGAAATGTATTCCAAAGACCTTTTATTTTATGTATGTATATTATATGTTTGAGATTTTTTTAAAAATAGGGGTTCTAGAGATTTTAACTATTTATGTAAAAATTTTGGATTTTTTTGTTAAAAAAAAAAATTCTAAAAATTTTCAAAAATTTTAAAAATTCATACAAAAGTTTTTAAATTTTCAAAAAATTTTCAAAAAATTCTAAAAATTTTCAAAAATTTAAAAAAAATTGTTAAAATTTTCAAAAAATCCACTGTTACTTGTTTGCTATTAAATAAATTGCTGTTTTGTTAAAATTTATATGAATTTTAAAGCTATATCCGCTGGATTTAAAAAATATTTAATATTTTTGTTAATTTTTTAGCAATTTTAAGATGAAATTTTTTCCATATTAAAGTACAAAATATTTCATTTGTAATAACAGCATGCATCCTTAGAAAAAAGACCATTATTTAAGAAATCTGCAACACTAGTTCCCTCTTGCTCTAGACTTAAAAGAAAAAAAACGTTTAGAAAAAAAGTTAACGAATAGTTACGCATTTTAATTAGCCAACCAGCTAATAAGAAAGAAATAGTTAAAAACAAATACAAGCTTCATTTAAGAAACACATATAGGGAGGGATTTTTTTTCCAGTACTAAATAAGATTAAAAATGACTGAATAAATAATACGAGAAAAAAAACCAACAAGAAATGTTAATAAAAAAATCAACAAAAAAATATAGAAACGAATAAGAAAACTTAAAGATAAAAAAATCTTGAAAATACACATAAAAAAAGTAAACAACACAAACTAGAAGATACAACAACGAGGTAACTGTCAGTTACACTAAATGAACTAATAAGAAAAATAATACAAAAACGTATATAAAATGACACAAACATGAGAGCAGGAAATCCAACAGACTGAGAAGCAGTAGTAGAAATAATGAAAAAATATATATATTAAATGGAACTCAATAAGAAAAACAAAACCTATAGAGGAAAGAAAAACAACTGAGTTGCACAGATATTATGAGTATATTTTTTGAATGTATGTGTCTTTCGTTAACATTTCTAGCAGAAAGAATAACAAAAGAGCAAATGTATCTCTGGTGGATGTGAGTATTAAAGCATACAGATACTAAGTAGTTGGTAGCTGTTAAATGTTTGACTCAAAAGTGCAAACAAAACACATTTTAAGGTCTTGCCCCAACACCACTCAACACAACACAAACTCACTCTTTGCCACATTAACAATATACAAACCAAAGCACCACCACCACCACCATCAGCAAACAGTGAGCAAGAGTATTTTCTCGCTGTGAGCGAAAGAGCAACAGAGACAAATGTATGGTAAGAAGAGTAGAAAAAATGGGGTGGTTTTAACTTGAAACCATAAGATACTGCATGTATCTGTGGGATATTTGAGTGGTGGAATGAGAGAGATTTGTGTGATGTGTCGTTAGGTCGAAATGGTCGAGTCGGGTCGGGTCGTGTACCTTTTGCCACGAATGTTTTGCCAGTCAGGCTCTAAGAGGCCTTACGAAAACAGCTGAGATTTACGCTGCTCGCATGACGCGCATTTCTTAAAACTTAACAAAAAAATTATTAAAATAAAACACAAAAATTTAAAATTAAATTCTAAAGCAAAGATAAAATATTTTTTAAAATTTAACACATATGTATAAAAAATATTAAATACGAAATTTTTCTAAAAAAAAATCTTTAAGTTAAATACAAAAAAAAAAGAAATTTAAAAAGATAAGAAAAGAAAATTTACAAAAGATAAAAGAAAATTTGTATTAAGTGTTAAAAATTTTAAAGAAATATATAAAGAAAATTTTTAAAAAAAGTGAAAATACAAAAAATAAAAAGAAAATGATATGAAAATATCTAAAGAAAATTTATAGAAAAATATTACAAAAAGAAAATTTGGAATAAATAAAAATTATACCAATAACACCAAAGTGAAAACCAAAATAATTGGATTTTTTTTAAAACAAAAAAAAAGAAATTTTACTAAAACACATATTAAGACCGTTGACCCTTTGAGGCCTACGGCTTATAAAAATTACAAAAGTGCATTCTTCTTATAATTCGTGTACACCAACGGCCGCCAAAATGATAACACACAACTCTTTAAGTGTCTACGGAGGCGGCGTTATGTGTGCTTCACCCTCAACAGCACCCGGTTTCTTTAATCACAGACCCCAATCGGGAGCTGAACTATCACCCTTTGAATTGGGTATACCCAGATCTATGGCTCTAGGAGTACCACCACCCACCGCTTGGCATGATCCCAATTTGGGACAACATTTACATGCCTCCGCCGGTCCTGGCTCTTTGGCCGGCACACAAAATACAAATGCCGGCTCGGTGGGCACCGGCGGTGGTACCACACCCTCCAGTGTGGCCAGCCATCAATCGGTGGGCATTAAACAAGATTTATCCGCCTTAAATGCTTCCAGTGTCAATCCAAATAACCTGCAACAAACGGCCACACATCATACCATCAAAGAAGATCTATCCGCCATGACCAATACATCACATCATACGTCAGCGGGTCAGCATCAAAATACACATGATATGAATTCCATGCTTAAGGGTTCCCAATCGAATTGTATGGTGGGTAGTGGTAGTAGTAGTGGCAATAACAATACCGGCGGCAATAGTAATAATAATGGTGGTGGTGGCAGTACAACACCTAGTTCACAGGCCAATAGTTCACATTCACAAAGTAGTAATAGCGGCTCACAAATCGATCCTAAACAAAATATCGAATGTGTAGTGTGTGGTGATAAAAGTTCCGGCAAACATTATGGTCAATTTACATGTGAAGGTGAGTTTTGAAAGTTTTGTAAAAATTATAGTTAAAGGGCCTTTGGTTTACCTGAAGTTTAGGAATTTATTGATTTGTTATCTGTGGCATAACTGCCAATCAATATTGTCAAAAGTTGTAAGTCCAAAAAAAAAAACAAAAATCAAGCAATTATTATTACATCTGGGGTTATGTTGGGTTTTTGTAAAGAAAAAAATCATTTAGTTAAAAATCTGAAAAAAAAAAAAACTTAACACGCGTTTTATGACAGCCTACTATAACTGATGAAGATCTTTTTTTTTATGTTTAGAAATACAACAAAGATAGAAAAACAAGGTGTGCTAAAACATGAACATCATGCTGATGATGATGATGATGACCATACAAAAATTAAATGATGTTTAAAATTTAAACACCAAATCTTATAAGAAATTCCCAAATAGACAAAAATAGACAAATAAAAAGTGTGCCTTACAAAACCAAAAACGATCTTTAATAAAAATTTCAATTTACAATTTAAATTCATACATTAAATGGCCAGCAGCTTTTATAGATTTTATGGCAAAGCTTTAACAAATGTTGTTTTTGTAAAAGGAATTTTCTTTTAGCTTTTTTAAAACTGATTTTTAAACCAGATTTTTTTTCGTTATAGATATTGGTGTTGATTTTTTTTCGTTTTTAAAAGAAATTTTTAGCGCCTCTTTATCTTATTTGATAATTTTGGTTTTTAGTTTTTTTTTTGTTATTCTCGTTATAAATCATTTAATCCAAATGTTTTTGAGATTTGAAAAAAAATGCGTTTTCAAAAACAAACAGATAAAAAAAATCCCACCAGAACAAAAATTTAATAACGCCCACAAAAAAGTGGCTAAAAAAATTTCGCCACAAATAATATTTATGAGTTTTCAGATTGTAACTAAAAAACAAATATGTTGGATTTTTTTTTTGGTTTCTTTTTGCACAAGTGTAAACACCCTGCTTTAAGTTAATGAACCCTTAAGCCATGAGTAGGGAACCTGTCGCTGGCAGAATATGAAAATGTTCGTCATACATTTTTTTGTAGGTTTAAATAACACATCAGACATCAATGTTTAAGATAACATTTACTTATTTTAAAATGATCTTCAATGTTTATAATTATTTTGAGTTTCAAATATAAACATTTCTTACTTCAGACAAATTTGTATGATTTTGATTGTTCATACAAAATGTTTCTTCGCTTCTTTTGTTAAACATTTTAAATGTATTGAAGGATTTTAATAAACATTTTTATTGGACCAAACAAACCTAAAATTTGAACTATTTTTCACAAATTTCTGTTGTATGATTTCTTCGTCATACATTTTTTTGTATGATTAAGCTACAAATCAGACAAAAAGTTTAATACTACAATAATTATCCTTAGATTGTCTTTAATGTTTATAAATATTTAGTTGAGTTACAAATATAAACATTTCTTACTTCAGACAAATTTGTATGATTGCTCATACAAAAAGTTTCTTCGCTTCTTTTGTTAAACATTTAAAATGTCTTAGAAGATTTGGAAAAAATTGTTTATTGTTCCAAAAAAGCTCAAACTATAACTATTTTCCAGACATTTCTGTTGTATGATTTCTTCGTCATACATTTTTTTTGTATGTTTAAGCTACAAATCAGACAAAAAGTTTAATATTACAATTATTTACTTTAAATTGTGTTTAATGTTTAAAAATATTTAGTTGAGTTTTTACCTTAACTCTTGGTTGCTTCAGACAAATTTGTATGATCTTGATTAATCATACAAAAAGTTTTTTGCCTTATTTTGGAAAATATTTTAAAAGATTTACAGGATTTTGATCAAATTTCAACGTCATACATTTTTTTTGTATGTTTAACAGACAAAAATGTTAATATAACATTTATTTTCTTCAGTGTTTATAAATATGTATTTAGTTGAGTTTTAAGTATAACCCTTGATTACTGCAGACATGTTTTGTATGGTCTTGATTGATCATACAAAAAGTTTCTTCGCTTATTTTGTAAAACATTTTAAACGATTTACAGGATTTTGATCAAATTGTTTATTGAACTAAAAAAAGCTTAAACTATAACTATTTTTTAAATATTTCTTTTGCATGATTTCTTCGTCATACATTTTTTTGTATGTTTAAGCAACCAGTCAGACAAAACTTTTAATATTATGTTGGTGAACTTAAAAAATTCCTAAAACATTTTTAAATATTTAGTTAAGTTTGTAATATGAATATTTATTACATCAGACAATTTTGTATGATCTAGATTGATCATACAAATAACTTGCAAAAACCTTTTAAATTACTTGAAGATTTTGTTAAAGTCATTTATGCTGTTTTAAGTATTTTTCAGACTTTACTTTTGTATGATTTACTTGCAAAATTTTCGATTTATAAACAATCTCATTTAAATTTCATATTTCTTATATATCAAAATATATTGTCATCTATGCGTACAACACAATTAATCTTTCATGCATGTTTCGGCATACAATTTTTGCCTTCCTTCTTCATTCATTCTGATTCATTTCTTACTTTTCTATATCTTTCACATAGCCATATGTATGTATGAACCAACCATTTGTTATAGAAATAAAAGGTATATTTGTACCTAGCAGTAGTGTTGTATGTATCATCATCAAAAGTAATAGAGATTACTTTATAGTAAAAAAAATATGAAAAGGCAGCCGTAAAACGAACACGTACAAACAATGCCACAACAACAACAAACCAGAACCAAACAGCTTTTTAAACCAAAAGCTTAAGCATGCGAACAAAACTAAAGAATTTTAAAGAATAAAATGATACTGAATCCGTAACAAAAAAACCCCCCTCAACTGCTGGAACAGACAATGCGTTTTTTTTTGTGAACTGGGATTTATAATTCCAAAGGAGAGATAGTTAAGATAGTCAAGCGGATGGATGGACAGACGGACGGCAAGACAGACAGACGGACAGACATACAAATAGTGTAGCAGACAGTTAGTTAGACATTAGGTTTACACTAGCTGAGTGAGTGAGTGTGTCTAGTATGGTATAAACCTTCTTATAAACGATCATCAACAATAAACATCAAGCTTATACTGAAATGCCGCGTTTTTTTTTGTTGCCCCTTCCTTTATATTATATAAGGTAGTGGAGAATATTGCTGTTGTAGTTGTTGTGCTATCTTAAGTTGCACGTGAATTTTTTCTTAGATATGTTTTTTTTTGTGGTTTGTTGTAAGTAAAAAGATTTACCTATCTTATGTGTTGTTTCTAGATAACGAGCGAGTAGTTTTAGCACAAATTTTACTTGTATTTTGTTATTGTAACAAAAACAAAATACAAGTAAAATTTTAACTCAAACTACTCGCTCGTTATCTAGAAACAACACATTAGTTTTTTTTTTGGCATATTATTTGTGTAGCTTATGTAGTTTTTTGGGATTTCTAAACAATGCGTTAGAAGATTTGGTTTAAAATGAATTGCAAAAGTTTTTTTTGTCTGTTGCAACTTGACTTAAGAATAAACTTGACATTATGTTGTTTGGGTATGCTGTATGTATTGGAGTTTAATTTTTAAATTGATTGCTATCGTGCTTTTCTCATCATCATCATCAGTTTGGACATGTTTGCCACAACTAAACAGTTTAATTTCAACTTGCCTCCAAATGTTTGTGTGTATAAGTTGAAAAGCTTTAAGTTTATATAAACAAAATTTTGAAAATTTTTTGTTTATTAATAATAAAATATACATGGTTTCCTATAATATCTAGCTATTAGCAGACAATTAACAAACATTAGCCCAACAGCCACCCACATGATTAAGAGTTATAATTTCTAAAAATTTCTTTCAATTAAAATAACTATTAGTTAAACTTTACCCTTTTTTTTTCTACATACAATAAATTTCAAAAAAATTTATTTGGGTTTTAAAACAAGTTCTTTAGGTTTGTCATGTTTTTCTTTTCTCTGCTGCTTAAATTTTTTCATGTCTTTTAATTTATGTTTAAATTAAAAATAATTTTTTTTAATAAACAAAAATTCATATTACTCTTATTCATAATTGTACAATGTTCATCATATACATATATAAATATGAATGACAACAACATGTTACAATTTTTTTTTTTCTTAATGTTTAGTTTTATTATTAAACGTGGGAATAACTTCAAACTACTACTACTTGCTTTAGCTTTCTTTAAAAAAAAAACTTTAAAAACAGCACAGCAAACTTAAAATGTAAATGTTTTCTTTATAAAGCTAATTAATTAAAGTACAACATCTAAATTAAAATAATAAAAAAAAACACAGTAACAGCAAAAATATATAATGTTAAATTATTATATTTTATGACCAGCTTTTGTGTTTCCTACATTTACACACAAACACACACACAAATTCTATTAAAATGCATAGAATTTTTATATGTTTTATATATGAACTGCATGCATATTGCCTGATATAAACTCATGTTATTTGTTGTCATATTCCTTTATGCCCAGATTAAGCTACATTATACTTCCACAACTTGTCAGTCATGTTAGTGATGTTGCAGTCAGTCAGTTAGCTAGTTGTTTTATAACGAAAAAACCAACCTAGAAATTAATTGTTTTAACTGCATTAAGTTGACAATTTTTCCTAAAGGCATAATATAGTTGGATGTTTAATGAAAAAAAAAATAAACTTTCGCACATATTTCTTAAAAATTTTTTCTTGTTTGCAATTGTAACATTAAAATTTATGTAGTAAATATGTTATTAAATTAAAATTTTAAATGAATTTTTAATAAATTTTTTTTAGTTTCTGTTTTTTTTTTCACTCTAAATACTAAGAGAATTGACAATAACTTGTATTTTTTATGTAGTTAACGGTAAAAGTTAATTATTATTAAAAGAAAATGTTGAAAATAGGCAAAATAAAGATACAAATCTAAAAAGTATCTGTTGAAAACAGTAGCTCTTAACAAAAGTTGGAATTTTATTAAGATTTATTGGTTTTAAAACATATTTTTGGAGATTTTTTTTCAA